TAGAAGAACTGTGGCCACAAGTGTATAATTTGTAAAATAGAAAATGATAGAAGACGGAGAAGTGTTGCACTGTAGGTCGGAAGTTTCTCGGTGGCAGGTACACGTTATTCGCCACAACTCTCGAATGTACTTAATTAGGCGATATTTGAGAAGGCATCTCTCGAGCGGCGGGCTGCCGGGACCATCTTCCGTCGGTTTCACGCTCGCAAACTGCTATTATGGAAAGCCACTGGATTTCCGTAAGAAAGTACGGCTGCCTGCCGGCTGCCTTGCCGGCTGCTGCTATCCCATCCTCGCTATCCTTACACGTCTTACCTGAACTAATATTGTTAGGGTCTAATTAGTACCATCGTGACATCGCCTGACCTTGTTCCTCGTCTCACGTCTATCACCATCCCCCCTTCCGATCTTTGCCCCTTGTTCGTTCTGAATTTCTCTTATCCTGGTAACTGTACACGTGTGTCTCCACAATTTCATTATTATTCAACTCAAACATTTTTCTTTAAATTATATTACATTTATTTTGGAATTAACTAAATGATTTAACATTAAACCACTGGTTTATGAAGTAGTCCCATTGCTAATTGCTCGTACTGAAAGTATCACTTACAATTCTTGCGTATGTACTCGCTGCCCTTTTCCTTCGAAATTCCACCGTTTACGTCCGGGTGTGTGCAGCAACGCGTAGGAGCTTGAAATTACGTTAAAGCTTGTTGCAAAGACCAACTAATGGGAGGACGGAAAAGCTTGTAGAAAGAGACGGTGAAGGGGAAACGGTAACGGTGGCTGAGGGGAGAAGCGAGACAGCTTCCGATATTAGCTACATTACAAACCAGTTGTACGTGAGCGTTTTACGGGCAAATTGCTCATAGGCCGTGCACTTACGTAAGACTCTTGCCCAATTACGTCGCGTCACATGTATTATAGTGTCATCAACGACAATTGCGCGTGTAGACCTCATTCAATTCATTACAAAGTAGGATTCGTGCAAAGGTGGTTCGTGCGAATATTTTAAAAAAAAGGGAATTTTTCAGAAATTCTAGAAATGAATTTTTGTATTCTATTTTGACTTTTACGATTTGATGGAGTTTTAGGATTACAGTGAAAAAATGACTTCTTTCTGGCATTTGATTGTTTATCTAATATTGCAGAATGTTCAATGTATTTATGCTATAATCG